CTGCAGCTCCCGAACCTGGGCCATGGGAACCACAGATTCTTGAACAGGTGTGCAGGCCAGACCAGTTCAGACTTTTCTGCAGCAAAATTACTGGTAGTTTATATTCATGAGATGAAGAGATATCCAGAATTAAGTCAAGCTCTTCCAAGAAGATGGAAACTTCCATGAGGAGGAGAAAAACACTCCACTGTCCCCAGGAGCCCTCCAGAAAACTCAGTGACCATTTCAACAATTGCTTCCTAAACTCCTACTTTGTCTAAGGTGCTCGTGTACCAGGACTTTCGACATGATGTAGGAGTGACTAAATCACATCTGCAAAATTGTAGGGGGGCAGTGTGGAGTACCCAAATGCCTGAAAACCACTAGAAACCACACAAGTATTTTCCATCACCCCATCCTGCCACTCAATTCCAGATAAGAAAGTTAAAAATTAGCAATGAAACAAAGTCAGCCAAGAAAAAAAATGTTTGTATGTTTAGATACTGAGCTACTAATTGTTATCTATTTGATGTTAAAGTATTCTAACCCGAATTTCTCATTATAAGAAATTGACATGTGTGACCTATAAAAGAAGTAATATGTAGCTTGTATTGTAAGTAGGGGATTCAAAGATATCCTTCTCATTTATGAGGAATACTTCAGTTTAAGTCATTGGAGTGAGTACCTTCCTCTGTGAAACATAAGTAAACTCTGTAAGAAGCAAACTTTAGACAGACTTTCAGGTTGCCAATTTAAGGGAGTGAAATAACAAACACTGGGTGTGCACACGTGTATACATGGTTACATCCACAAAGTCAAGCTGTTAGTAGTATAAATACATATACATACAAACATATACATATATACAAGTGTAGACACACTTGTGCAACAGTTGTGAATGCAAAGAGAATCCCAGCACTAGAGGTAAGGAATAAATGGAAAAAATGAATATAGAAGTAGCACAAGTTACTTCTTGTAGGTATAAATAATCAAGACCAATCTCTGAAATGTGATTCCCAGCACTAGGAACCTGAAACAATAGGAACCCAAAGACATTTTGCAGAAACTAAGAACAAACTCTGACAACAGAATTTAGTTTTACTGTGTTATAGTAGTGTATGGGTAAGCTGCTTCTCTCTTCAGAATAAAACAGAACTCACTTGGCCTTCAGGAGTCCTGTTAATTCTAGAAATAATTCCATGAAATGCTTACCCTAGCAGTATACATTCCCATGTGACTTATTTCTCTCTTAGCCCCATTCAAAATGTGAAAGTAGGATTTCGATGGGGATGTATATTTCATAGAAGTGCCACAAAAATTAACTTGGAGCAGCTTTCCTATGAAATAAATTTCATACAAATAGGTTTTTCTATAAATGCTTGTTTTTATTGACAATGTAAGACATAAAACACACCATATTGCAATTCTTCAGCTGCAGCCATACCACTTACCAGTGTCCAATAAATTACTTCACTCTATGATAGACACAAATGCTCCATTCAAGTTCAGTTAATAGAATAGTGTCAGGATATCATGCAGACAGCTTGCATAAATACATGAGGAATAACAGCATACCTTCAGTAGGTTCTGTGATGTTTTTGTGATTTTTAGGCATGAAAACTGTCTTATTCCAAATTTCAAATGATGGAATAAAGAATGTTCTCATATAAAATACATTTGGAAAAGTGGGTTTTCTTTTGTCTTTAAAAAGGACTAATCCATTTCCAACACACACTTGTAATTCATTTTTTAAGTTACAAAATCAGATATGTATTTTTTTCATCTAATGTTATGGGATGTTAACATTTCTGTGATATCCAGCAATATCTAACAGCTAAATTCAAAATAATATTCTTTTCTGATAAATACAATATATATTGGTAATCAAAGGAAGAAAGACTTGTCAGCTTTGTGTTTGGGCTCTATATTTTATCAGATAATTGAGAGTCAGCTCTTTGACAGTATAAAATCCTGAATCAATTACCAGCACAGCTTTATTTTCTGCTCTTAATTTCGAAATGTACCTGGACTGGAGCTATGGGGAAAGTATTTCTGCTTGTCAGACTTTACTGGAAATTTTAATGCACAAAATTTCCATATTTATGTATTCTAAAATAAATTACTTTAAAATAAAAATTTTAAAGGCGGGGGAAGTCTATAGTTTGTATTCTGCACGAATAGCTTTCAATATCTTCCAGGTGGGGGCAACAGTCAGTCAGTTTTGAGAAGGGAAGAAAGAACGGGCTCTTTAAGCTCCCTGAGTCCAGTTACAGAAGATGAAATAACTTCCTGCTAGTAACACCGTGAATAAAACCACAGATTCCCAGGCAAGGAGACTTCTGTACTTGGAGGGGCGCAAGCAGAGGAACCAGTGCTTGGAGAGCGCCGCTACCTCTCCGCCCGCGGAATCTGCCGGCGGCCCCCAGCGCGCAAGCGCGCCGCGCACCTGCTCAATGAGGAGCAGCTGCCGGAGGTGGGTAGGTGCTGCGGCTCACTCACTGCCGAACTGTGCCCCCGGGGAGCGTCGCTCTGCCCACGCACGTTCCAGGTCTGCCAGGAGGAAGCAGGGAGACCCTTCTCTCCCGTTGACATCTCAGTCATTCGTCTTCTGGACAATTCAAGTCCGTTCACAACTGCTGCAGACGTGTGAGCGCGCACCTTTATCTTTAAAGAAACTCTCAAGTCACAGCCACCAGAAAACCAGCTTTCAGGCAGGGCGGCAGGGTCCCATTCCTCTTTTCTCCTCTCTCTGCAAATCCTCGTACCCTAGGGAGGGCGGCAGTGCACTCTGGCGGGTAGGAGGGAGGTGCATGAAGCGGAGGTTGATCTTGCACCGTCCGTGGAGATGGGACTCCCCAGCGTGCCTGCCTCTGTTTAGCTCTCTGGCCCAGCGCGGAGGAGGCGGGCCGGCAAGGGCCGGAGAGGTGGAAAACCGACGCCCCGCAGTGGCCAGGCGTCTAGCGGTGCGCGACCACGGGCCGTAGGGAGGGGCGATGAAGCTCGAGCGCACGGAGTCAGAGGCCCCCACCTCTCGGGCCGCGCGGGGCTAAAGGTGTGGGCTGCAGGCCTGACGTCGACCCCGCTACGTATTGCCCCTCCGCGCTCCACCTGCCGCTGCCGCCCGTGCCCTCGGGCCACCGCCGCCCGCGCCCCCAGCCGAGCCCGCGGCCGCGCCCTCGGGCCGGTACTTGAGCCAGCAGATGATACCTTTCAAAAATCCTTACGAGTTCCAGAAAAGCATCTGTTTACCTCAGACCCTGAGGATCTGAGTTACTGAGTGGCAGTGTGAATAAGGGGGGCCAACTTGCTTAACATTCAGTCCAGGGGTTCTCGTTCAGCCAGTTTAACAGACTACTTTATCTGCCACTTACCGTATGTGGAGAACTGGCTAAATCTCTGGGTATTTCCAAATGTGGGTACTTGCAATTTCCAGTGTGGGTAGAGTGGGTGATCACACAAGATTTCTGCCCTTGTTTTTACGTTCTGGTTGTTGGCGATTGAGACAAAGCATGCTAGCAAATAAGACTACCTCAGACAGTAGGAAGTGTTAAGAAGAAAGCAAAACTTTGATAGATGTTTCCTTGGGATAGAGAGGTCAGGGCAGAGCTGTTTGGGAAGGTGATACTCTCTTGAGTGTACAAATCCTTAAGCCAACCCCATAAGGTGTGCAGGGCTGAGACTTTGTGTTCCCATTTTGTAAATGAGAAGCCCAAGGCTCAAAGAGGTTAAATGACTTACCAAGGTCTTTCCAAGAAAAGAGAGAGCCAGCATGCAGACCGTCGTCATCTCCTGGGTGCAGTTACTGGTCTTTAAACCCCAACCAATGTTCTCTCTGGATTTGGACACTGCTTCCTAAATCCTATTGCATTCAGAGGATGAGTTTCTTTCACTTGAAATTCAGACTCTGCAGGCTCATGATGATAATTCTAACCTGCAGCTCCCGAACCTGGGCCATGGGAACCACAGATTCTTGAACAGGTGTGCAGGCCAGACCAGTTCAGACTTTTCTGCAGCAAAATTACTGGTAGTTTATATTCATGAGATGAAGAGATATCCAGAATTAAGTCAAGCTCTTCCAAGAAGATGGAAACTTCCATGAGGAGGAGAAAAACACTCCACTGTCCCCAGGAGCCCTCCAGAAAACTCAGTGACCATTTCAACAATTGCTTCCTAAACTCCTACTTTGTCTAAGGTGCTCGTGTACCAGGACTTTCGACATGATGTAGGAGTGACTAAATCACATCTGCAAAATTGTAGGGGGGCAGTGTGGAGTACCCAAATGCCTGAAAACCACTAGAAACCACACAAGTATTTTCCATCACCCCATCCTGCCACTCAATTCCAGATAAGAAAGTTAAAAATTAGCAATGAAACAAAGTCAGCCAAGAAAAAAAATGTTTGTATGTTTAGATACTGAGCTACTAATTGTTATCTATTTGATGTTAAAGTATTCTAACCCGAATTTCTCATTATAAGAAATTGACATGTGTGACCTATAAAAGAAGTAATATGTAGCTTGTATTGTAAGTAGGGGATTCAAAGATATCCTTCTCATTTATGAGGAATACTTCAGTTTAAGTCATTGGAGTGAGTACCTTCCTCTGTGAAACATAAGTAAACTCTGTAAGAAGCAAACTTTAGACAGACTTTCAGGTTGCCAATTTAAGGGAGTGAAATAACAAACACTGGGTGTGCACACGTGTATACATGGTTACATCCACAAAGTCAAGCTGTTAGTAGTATAAATACATATACATACAAACATATACATATATACAAGTGTAGACACACTTGTGCAACAGTTGTGAATGCAAAGAGAATCCCAGCACTAGAGGTAAGGAATAAATGGAAAAAATGAATATAGAAGTAGCACAAGTTACTTCTTGTAGGTATAAATAATCAAGACCAATCTCTGAAATGTGATTCCCAGCACTAGGAACCTGAAACAATAGGAACCCAAAGACATTTTGCAGAAACTAAGAACAAACTCTGACAACAGAATTTAGTTTTACTGTGTTATAGTAGTGTATGGGTAAGCTGCTTCTCTCTTCAGAATAAAACAGAACTCACTTGGCCTTCAGGAGTCCTGTTAATTCTAGAAATAATTCCATGAAATGCTTACCCTAGCAGTATACATTCCCATGTGACTTATTTCTCTCTTAGCCCCATTCAAAATGTGAAAGTAGGATTTCGATGGGGATGTATATTTCATAGAAGTGCCACAAAAATTAACTTGGAGCAGCTTTCCTATGAAATAAATTTCATACAAATAGGTTTTTCTATAAATGCTTGTTTTTATTGACAATGTAAGACATAAAACACACCATATTGCAATTCTTCAGCTGCAGCCATACCACTTACCAGTGTCCAATAAATTACTTCACTCTATGATAGACACAAATGCTCCATTCAAGTTCAGTTAATAGAATAGTGTCAGGATATCATGCAGACAGCTTGCATAAATACATGAGGAATAACAGCATACCTTCAGTAGGTTCTGTGATGTTTTTGTGATTTTTAGGCATGAAAACTGTCTTATTCCAAATTTCAAATGATGGAATAAAGAATGTTCTCATATAAAATACATTTGGAAAAGTGGGTTTTCTTTTGTCTTTAAAAAGGACTAATCCATTTCCAACACACACTTGTAATTCATTTTTTAAGTTACAAAATCAGATATGTATTTTTTTCATCTAATGTTATGGGATGTTAACATTTCTGTGATATCCAGCAATATCTAACAGCTAAATTCAAAATAATATTCTTTTCTGATAAATACAATATATATTGGTAATCAAAGGAAGAAAGACTTGTCAGCTTTGTGTTTGGGCTCTATATTTTATCAGATAATTGAGAGTCAGCTCTTTGACAGTATAAAATCCTGAATCAATTACCAGCACAGCTTTATTTTCTGCTCTTAATTTCGAAATGTACCTGGACTGGAGCTATGGGGAAAGTATTTCTGCTTGTCAGACTTTACTGGAAATTTTAATGCACAAAATTTCCATATTTATGTATTCTAAAATAAATTACTTTAAAATAAAAATTTTAAAGGCGGGGGAAGTCTATAGTTTGTATTCTGCACGAATAGCTTTCAATATCTTCCAGGTGGGGGCAACAGTCAGTCAGTTTTGAGAAGGGAAGAAAGAACGGGCTCTTTAAGCTCCCTGAGTCCAGTTACAGAAGATGAAATAACTTCCTGCTAGTAACACCGTGAATAAAACCACAGATTCCCAGGCAAGGAGACTTCTGTACTTGGAGGGGCGCAAGCAGAGGAACCAGTGCTTGGAGAGCGCCGCTACCTCTCCGCCCGCGGAATCTGCCGGCGGCCCCCAGCGCGCAAGCGCGCCGCGCACCTGCTCAATGAGGAGCAGCTGCCGGAGGTGGGTAGGTGCTGCGGCTCACTCACTGCCGAACTGTGCCCCCGGGGAGCGTCGCTCTGCCCACGCACGTTCCAGGTCTGCCAGGAGGAAGCAGGGAGACCCTTCTCTCCCGTTGACATCTCAGTCATTCGTCTTCTGGACAATTCAAGTCCGTTCACAACTGCTGCAGACGTGTGAGCGCGCACCTTTATCTTTAAAGAAACTCTCAAGTCACAGCCACCAGAAAACCAGCTTTCAGGCAGGGCGGCAGGGTCCCATTCCTCTTTTCTCCTCTCTCTGCAAATCCTCGTACCCTAGGGAGGGCGGCAGTGCACTCTGGCGGGTAGGAGGGAGGTGCATGAAGCGGAGGTTGATCTTGCACCGTCCGTGGAGATGGGACTCCCCAGCGTGCCTGCCTCTGTTTAGCTCTCTGGCCCAGCGCGGAGGAGGCGGGCCGGCAAGGGCCGGAGAGGTGGAAAACCGACGCCCCGCAGTGGCCAGGCGTCTAGCGGTGCGCGACCACGGGCCGTAGGGAGGGGCGATGAAGCTCGAGCGCACGGAGTCAGAGGCCCCCACCTCTCGGGCCGCGCGGGGCTAAAGGTGTGGGCTGCAGGCCTGACGTCGACCCCGCTACGTATTGCCCCTCCGCGCTCCACCTGCCGCTGCCGCCCGTGCCCTCGGGCCACCGCCGCCCGCGCCCCCAGCCGAGCCCGCGGCCGCGCCCTCGGGCCGGTACTTGAGCCAGCAGATGATCCAAGTGACGACGACCGAGAAGAGCGCTAAGATGCTGGCCACCGACAGACAGATGGGCCCCACGGGCGACGGCGAGGGCGTCCCAGCTGCTGGGGCAGCCCCAGGGGGCGCCCCACTCCCGGGGGGGCCACCGCTGCCGTAGTGGTTGACGAAGATGAGACCGGTGAAGAGCAGCACCACCATGGAGAGGAAGGAGAAGACGACGCACACGCAGCCGGCGGTGAGCGCGGCGCGCTTGCAGTTCTGGCAGCTCTCGTAGGCGCCCGGGGCGCGCAGGGCGGCGCGGGCGCGGGGCCCGCGGGCTGCGTCCTCCGCCGGCGGCGGCGGCGCGGGCACCGGGGCGGGCGGCTGGGCCGCGGCGGGCGCTGGGCGGCGCGCGGGCAGCGGCGGGAGACGGTCCTGGGGCAGCGGGTCGTGAGCGGCGCGCAGGGCCAGCGGGAAGGCCTCGGCGAGCTTGGTGTTGTTGGGCAGGCCGTGCACGCGGCTGTCGGGCAGCGGCGTGCGGTGGCGGCACACGGGGCACGCGATGGCGCCGGGCGGGCCGTGCCAGGGCGTCGGGCGCTCAGGCGCCGCGGAGGCGGTGGAGGCGGCGGCGGCGGCGCGGAGCTGCAGCTGGCTCAGGCACTCCTGACAGAAGGTGTGCAGGCACGCCAGGATTTTGGGCGCGCGCCGGTCCGCGTCGAAGTAGTTGTAGCAAATTTTGCACTCGTAGTCCTCGAGCTGAGGAAGGCCGGGGACCGTCACGGCTGCGCTCCCGGCTCTCGCGTCCCCGCAGTCCCGGCTTCCCGTCGCGGGGCCCCCGGCTTCTGTCGAGCTCCCGGAGCTGCCGGTCGGGCTCCGCTCGCGGCCGCCGCCGCCGCTGCTGTCGCTCGCCGGCGCTGCCATGGCATGATCCGCCCCTCATCGGGGGCAGGTGAGGAGCCTTCCTGCCCCTCCGCCGCCGCCCCGGCTCCTGGCGGGGAGGAGGCGCTTCTGCCTCCCCCCTCTGGCTGCCGTCGCCCGGCAGGGGAGGCACCGCGGGCCAGGCCGGGCGGGGGCGCAGCGGCGACCGCCTTCCTCCACCCCCTCAGGGCGCGGGCGCCTCGGTCCCTCCCAGTCCCCCGGCGTCTCTCTGCCGTCCCCTTCGGGCCTCTCAAGGCAGCTCTCCTGGCCTTTGGATGTCTTTGGATAGCGGTGTCGTTGGACTTGAAATTGGGAGTTGAGGACTGTTGGGGGTGGTGCGGGAACGGGATTTGGGTGCGGCTGCTTAAGGTGGTAGCGCCCTTGCAACCCCCCACCCCTAACACACCCAAGGGGAGGTGATGGGAAACCTCGCCCTGCCTTTCCCTGATTCTGCTCCTTCCCGCCTCCTCTCCCTTTATCCTTGTTATTCCGTGTTTATTCCCCCCGTTCTGGGCCGAGTCCCCGGCGTAGCCTCCTCTCCCCCCACCAGCCAGAGCTCACCGGTGATGTAATGCGGGACCCGCGCAGGCAGGGGAAGCAGTAGCCTGGCAGCGGCGGTTCCTGTCCTTGAAAACCGTGATCTCATCTCTCCGTCCAAGAGCGAAAGCCAGTAACCACCGAGTCGTTTACACTTTCCGCTTTCACTAGCAAAGCCCAGGCAGCCTTGCAGCGTTCTTCTCGGGGAGGAAGCAGAGGTGGCATTTTCCTTTCACCCATTGGAGGAAATTTTGAAACTAAACAGGATCCTTCTTTCCCCTTGAAATGGTGCTTGCTGAGATTGAAGGAGGTTCAAAGACAGACTCACAGCCAGGTCTTGCTGACTCCCTGACGCCCACCACTTGGGATGGAGGTAACTATTTCGTCGTTTGTGCTCAGCCGTTTAAAACGGCAGCGAAGGGGACCTGTGAAAGTTAAACCTTTTCAGAGAACTTCAAAATCCAGCTTTAAGCCAGCCTCTGGCGTCACTCACCCCCACTGTGCACTTAAATTTTTAACACGCAAATGTAGAGGGCGGGACACTCCACGAGCAACATGGGGCAGGTCTTCCTGATTGTTATTAAAGCTAACTAACAGGAACCCGGGTGAATAGATTAGCAAGAAATAGCATTTCTTGAAGGAGCGCTCAGTAGAATACGGGAGTAGTGGGATAAGGGGATGCTGATCGGATATTCTTAACCAGAAATTGTGTTCCCTGTTTCTCCAGCTTGGACCTCACCCTATGAAGACAGAATCCCCCTTTAAACAAGGAAGGGGAAGGGGATGGCTCTCTGGGTTCCCAAGAGATGGAAACGTTCCCACTTTCTCTCCAGATTCTCTGTAGAAGACAGCAAGATGGTCGAGAGAATGTTTGTGAAGAGGACAAATGAATGGGAAGTAAGCTGAAGGAAAAGGAAAGAAAGCAAGGAATGTACAGACCAGTGTACAGACAAGAGGAGGAATTGTCTTTAGAGAAAAAAAACTATAACTTTTCTATGACATTTGAAAATAAATTAATTTTTTTACTCTATGTGAATAGTGACTGTGGTACGTATCAAGTCGGAGGGATCTGAGGCGAAGCTCATTACAGAGCACTAGCTTTTCATTTCCTAGTTTCAAATTTTATAAATATGACTTGGGGTAATACTCTTTTTACTTTTTTAAAGTATATCATTTTGTGAAGGGCTGTGATGAGCAGAGGGTAGGGTGACGGGACATCAAGGAGGCCCAGTTTGGCCTTGGACTATTACAGTTACACAAACCAAACTCTAAATGGATGAATTGGCTTCCTGTCTTTCTCTTTCCTTCCTTGAGCTCTGTGATTGTGAAGAGGCTGGAACTGTACATTTTGTGGAGCTTTAAACTGGGTTCTTCTACTTTGAGCCTTGACTAGGCCTGTTCTGAAAAGAGACCTAATGCTGATGTAGGAAAAATTAAAAACCAGAGATGGGGAGAAGAGAAGCCCCTTAACAGGAGGGCTGGTGGGCAGTTTTTAGGACATGTCCTTCCCACCAACCCAGTTTTTAGGACATGTGTAAATTCCACACCAAAAAGGGGACTGAAAAAGAGTTCTGCAGATCTCCATGGCATGTAGCATGCATTTGGGCAAAACATTTAAGATTTTGAAATTTCTCACCATTGTGCATTCTCACCATTGAATGGAGAATTGAGAAATGAGGAAGAGGGTTACATCAGGGTCTTTCAATCTTAGCCCTACTGACATTTTGAACTGGATGATTCCTTGTTGTGGGTGCTGTTCTGTGTGTTGTCAAATGTTCTAGTAACATCCCTGGCCTCTATCCACTTGATGTCAGTAACAACCCTTCTGCAGTGACAACATGGAGAATGTCACCATAGGGGCAGGTGGTTTACCCCTGAAGGTAAACTCACCCTTGGTTGAGGATCAACGGTTTGCACCAAAGCCAGGGATTAGGTTAAAGTGAAACCAAAATGAGAAGCATCTTCCAGCTCTTAAATAGTGCAAGCAAAGACAGTGTTACCGGTAGAAGTAATTATTTAATAGCTACCAGCATTTCTTCTGTAGCTCACGGTACCTTAGATACCATAGCATCCTCTTTGAGAGGTCCAGGTATGGTTTTTGTTGATAATATTTTCTATTGATAGGGTCAGAGATAATTGCCAGAGTTTGTTGAACAATGCTGGAATTTACTCTGTGTTTGAATAGTTTTTTAGGGAGACCCAGCATCTCTATTTATTTTATGTCTTAGGACTCATCACTCATTTTTAGGATTCATGAAGGTGTCATATGACGTATTCCATGGTGCACTAAAGAGCCATGACATTCCTGAAGAGAGTAAGTTTGTGTGACACAGGCCACTGACATCTGTCTTCAAAGGCCTAGAGCTCACAGTGTCGCCTGCAGCAGTAAGAACTGAAGCTTGATCACTTGTGTAGGAATTAGGTTTTCACTGTGATGAAAGATGTGGTCAGAGGGAGCTTAAGTCAGAAGCAAGGACGTCAATATTTGCATTAGGATTTGAATTGGCTTTGCAAGAATCCTGCTCATGCCTTGAATATATTAGACACAGTATTTGCTGAATTGTTCCTTTTTGAGAACTTGAGTAAATGGAAGATGACGATGGTCTCAGTCAGTCTCTTGTACACATTTCTTCATTGGCCATTTAAAGAGAGAGGATGTTTTAATTTTAGGGTTGACTGTCCTGAATCCAGATGCTACATGTGCTTCTCCCCTCTATATAGCTCTAGATGTGCTATTTAACTTCTCTGCTCCTCAGTTTTCTAAACTGTAAAATGGGGATAAGAGTAGTTACCACCTATATCTGTTGTGAAAATTGAATGTGTACAAATTACATAGGAAGAAGAGCCCCCAACCCTGTTAATGCTCATTACTGTTTATGTCAGCAGTTCCCAGTCCTAATCTCAATCCTACAAATGCCCTGTGAGAGAGGTCCAGAGGATTTGTGCAACCAGCCCAAGGTGACACAGATAATAGTGACAGAGGGTTCTAATCCAACTCTTCCATCATTTCCAGGATAGAGATCCAGGTAGCATCTCAGAAAGACCAAGTGGAGGCCTGACCTGTGAATCTAACCACACATTATCAAACTGTCAGCTGTAATAAATAAAGCCCTGTATAAAACATGAGGACAAAGTGAAATCTCCTTGGTAATATTTTAAGAATAGATGTATAGGCAGATAATGCCACTCAGAAGCAAGTAGTAAATGAGTCAGTCAAATAGTTGACATTTTAAAATAGAAACTGGATTGATTCAATATGACATTTATTGAAGTCCTATTCCAGAAGGCTTTATTCCTGTGTGATAGGACACCTCGCCTCCAGAAACCAGCAACTTAACAGAGGATATTAAACATGTGTGCAAGACGTAGAAGCAGAATGAAGCAACTTTGTGATCCAGGATCAAGGTCTGGTGGGAATAAAGAATAGAAAGGTTATTTCTGCTGTGGAGATGTGGGAAGTTTCCACAGATCCATGGTCAGTGAATTGGGAGTTTAGGAAGATGTAAAGAAAAAAAGATATTCAAGGCAGCAGCAGGGAAAGCAGGTGTGTTAAGGGCATGGCAAGAGGCTGGCTTCAGAGAGACCATGCAATGTGTGTAGGACACTGTCCAGGGAAACCTGGAATCCTTACCAGAAGCGCTTATTCTGTAGACAACTGGATATTCCATGGCCAGGCCCATGGGAGATGGAGCTTTACAGTGGTGGGTGGACTGGAGTTGTTGGAATTGACTATCAAGAGTAAGACTAATCAATGAAAATGCTCCTTAAGGAGCTACATCTCGTTGCTATATACTGCAAAGAAACAACTTTCAAAAGAATGAATGTGCCTCCATTTACAGTGATAAGTTCACTCTCCTATTGCAGAGGCAGTATGTCTAGTGTTTAAGAACAAGTGTTCTGCAATACAGCCAGTGATTCTGTAACATCTTTTTATATGGACAGATAGGAACCGTACTAGAAGGGGTGAGGATTTAATAAAAGGGGTAACTGTTGAACCACTGTGTTGTATATTTGAAACCAGTGTAAGATTGTATATCAATGATACTTCAATTGAAAAAAACAAGCTCCTCTGCCAGATTGCCTGTGCCACTTGCTAGCTATGCATTCCTGAACAATTTACTTAACCTTTCTGTGCCTTTGGTTTCTCCTCTGTAAAATAAGAGGGTAGTGTCTACTTGATAGGGTTGTCATGGAGTTAAAATGAGTTTATATATGTTCAGTTTCAAACAGTGCCTGGTACATGGTATGAGCTATAAAAGTGTTTTTAAAAAGGCCCCAATTTAAAAGCTATAAAAGTGTTTTTAAAAAGGCAGTGAATCAAAAGATGCTTATCCTAAGGAAATGATTATATTTTTATTGGTAAATAAAAATAATTCAGGACAAAAAGTATCTTGACCAGGTGATCAAAGTTAGCTTCAACAGTGATAAGTTGATCACAGATACCCTTAAGTGTGGAGATGATATGTTCAGAATAGCACTCGGTGATAATTGTTCTCAAAAACATATAACCCAGTCTAATCATGGAGAAAATATCAGACAAATCCTAATAGAAGGAGCATTATACAGAATACATGACCAGTACCTCTGAACACTGTCAACGTCATCAAAAACAGGGAAACTGTCACAGGAAGCTGTCTCTTTCAGCTATTTGAGAGACAAAAGGAAAATGCAGTATTTTAATAAAAACAAGTGGCTTCTTGGATGCCACAAATAAGAGGAAATCAAGCTGCAACTGTATTGCATTTTTCAAAAATTGTATTTCTTATTGTTGTTCATTCTGATGCCTTATCACAGCAATGAATCCCACAACTCTAAAGGCTGCCTGAATGTTGTGAAATGTTAAAGATACTCAGGTTCTCAGCCTAACACCAGGGATTGTCTTGACCTCTAGAGAAAATCAGGGCCAAAGATGGTGCAAATCTATATACACAACCGTATCTTGGACTGAAAGAAGATATATGGCTGTGCTCATGGACCCTGGCTGGGAAGAGATGGCCTTGCCTCCAAGACTCTAGTCTCTTGGGTACTTTGCAAAGAGCTGAGTGGTGAAAGGCTTCCTAGAGCCTGAATGGCCAAGCAAGTCCTTGATGTGGTTAATCACCAAATGCACACTTTGAACAGAAAGAGAATTTCAAATGAAAACATTTTAGACCCATTGTGAAATTCTCACTCTTCAACTCTTGTTTTATACACATATGTATCATTTCTTTATAATTTTATAAGCATTCTGGCTCCACAAGGAATTTTTAAGAGAATTTCTGCATTTGATTAGAACCAAGGTGAACAGAAGAAGTTCTAGAAGGTCCAGCTGTAAATGATCTCGACCCATCTTTGAGCCACTCCACGACAGTTGGTGTTCTTCCTTTTTTTTAATTATTATTATTTGGTGGTAAAAAAATGCATGACCATTTTTAAGTGTATAGTTCAGTAGTTTTAAGTATATTCGTGTTGTTGTGAAACAGATCTCTGGAACTTTTTCATCTTGCAAAACTGAAACTCTATACCAGTAAACAACTACTTGTTTCTCCTTCCTCCCAACTCCTGGTGATCACCATTATGCATTCAGTTTCTGTGAATTTTGACCACGTTAGATACACCATACAAGTATTGGTCTTCTTGTGACTGGACTATTTCACAAGTCTAGTGTCTTCAGGATTCATCCATGTTATAGCATGTGTCAGGATTTCCTTTTTAAGGTTGAGTAACATACTATTATATGTATACCACATTTTGTATATCTATTTGTCTGTTGATGGACATTTGGGTTTCTCCCAGATCTTGGCTACAGGGAATAATGCTGCTTTGAATGTGAGTGTGCAAATATCTCTTCAAGACCCTGTTTTCCAGGGTTTTGGATATACACCCAGAAGTGGGATTGCTGGCTCCTATGGTAGTTCTCTTTTTAATTTTTTGAGGAAATTCAATCTGTGTTCTGTATAAGTTGTACCATTTTACAACCCCACCAACAGTGCACAAGTGCTTCAGTGTCTCCACATTCTCACCAGCACTTCTTATTTTCTATTCATTTGG